CAACATGGTGCTTTCCCTGCACAGCAGCAACATAGGAACTATAGAGAGCAGTAAATTTCTCCTTGTACGGGAAAAGATATTTGTTCATGAACTTCTGCTCGGTTAGTCGCATGACATATGAAAGGCCATGTCCTTTATCCAGAAATTTATTCTGCTCAAGAAAATTTACAACTTCATGTCGCGGTCTCAACCTCTTCTCCAAGCTATATGCAAGAATCCCAGGATAGCAAATGATATACTGCAGCTCACAACCAGCTTCCTTCATCAGGAATGTCATCTTGTCAGATATGTTCTTCTTTGAGAGTTTCCAAACACAAGGGTTATTCCTGAGTATGGCAACGATGTCTGGCTGGGACCAACCAAAGCTCTTCAAGGTTGCAAAGGTAGCATCACACTTAGATCTGCTTATGTTCAAGACAGCAAGAAGTGCATGAGGGAACATTGCACAATCACGTGGCACACCCAACTCCTCAACATGTTCGATAACTTCCTTAATAAATATGTTTTTTCGAACAACAAAACCCGGCATCATCACCACCATACGCGCGATGCGTTCATCGCTGATGCCACATTCCCTTAAGAGAGATATATTGGGCTCTATCTTCTGAGCTAAGCTAGAAGTAAGAAGAAATCGGTTCCTCCTGCAGGCTTTCAGTAACCTCTCATTAGAACCAAGTAGTGACCTCAAGAAGTTCAACTGCGGTTGGATATTATGTAACAGTATAGTCGGACATGTTGAAACCAACTGAACTATTTCGGTAACAGAAAATCCCATGTCCTGCAAAGATCTCATCCTGGGCTTCAGCGTAGTCTCTACCTTAGCACGCAGCAACCGGGGTGCCTTCTGGGTAAGTTTCATGACTTGTACATCGCTCCAACCGTTCTGCTTAAAGAACTCGATGAAAAGATTAGAAGAATTTTTACGACAGGTGTGATACTTGGGTGTTTTTGCAGCCTTTTCTGAGGAAAGTTCACATGTTTGAAGGGGCTTGACCACTAAAAAGTTGGATCTGTGCTCTGAACTCTGGTCTTTGGCAGTGGAAAAGTTAAACAGGCTGCAAAGTTGATAGGAGGAAAGATAAATGGAGGAATTGTTACATGGGAAAAGGCAAAGGAGCCTTTTTTGCAACAAATACATCATCTTTTGAAGCAGTATCGTGTGCTGTTTGCAGAAAAATACAAAAAAACTAATCTAATCGCTGCCCTCTCTAAGTCCAACTCCTCTTCTACCTCAGATCAAGCACATCCAAACTAAATATATTTTCTGTATCTGCTTCCAACCAAAAGGAAGGTGAAACTTCAAGCTGATCATCTGTATCAGATAAAATTCCTCACATAAATCCACCTGCCATCAGTTCCCATAAACCATTTCTTTCAGATTTAAGTCTCTAAATGGTGTTTGAGTGTTGATTAAGAGTACCTTTGATCATTTACTTATTACCATGCTCACATCCAAGCTATTAACCACCACTGAAATAATGTCTTGATATGACACATGCACACTAACACAACCTTCCGCTATTTATCTATTGTAGGTTAGCAGCTTTAGAAACTGTGAAGCACAACACTATATCCCTGCAGATATTGAAAAATGATATCAAATGTATTTTCATCATATATGCGGCATAAGAGTGACAATGGCATTTACTATGATGATCGGATACAGATGATGTTCAACTTTGTACTAATAGGTTGAACATCAGTCGATGACTTGCAATGGGTACTTCAGCATTAAGATTAGGTGGAAGATGCATAATGCTTTGTCTAACATCAGATTCACTAATGTCCTACAACTAAAACCTGAAACATTTCAAATGAGCACTTACAGAATAATTGATCCTTTTCAACATGAATGTAAAGAGATGATTTTGTTACAGGTCTAACTAGACTGGTAATTAGAAAAAACACTGCTTAAGAAATTAACAACAGTAATTTGTGAGGTTCAACATGCTAAAGAAGCCACTGTTGATGATGTGCAGGGAAAGCACATATAATTAGCGGCGAAGGAGGAAGAGGAGGAGGGGGAGGAGTAAGAGAGAGATACCGGGCGCTGTAACCGTTCGCCGACGGAGAGGAAGCCGCAGAATGCACCGTTCTCCGTGGAAAACGCCGCAGCGATAAGAGCTCGACGGAGGAAGATGCCGCCGCAGCTGCCGCCTTTCGCCAAGGAAAACGCCGCAGTCGTGGTCGCTGTGGAGAAGGAGACAGTTTCACCGCTGCATTTAGGGCACGGGTGCGGACTTTGAGGATGCCGTCTCATATGGTTCGATCGAACCAGAGTTCCAAATTGACTTGACTTGGGCTCGACACAACATGAATCAGGCGACCCGGTTGAACTCACCCGCCCGGCCCACTTATCGGGCGCCCGGTGTCGTCAATTGCTTCAGCTATAGTATATAGTAATGAACTTTCAGCAACCAATCATTGATGAAGAAAAATTACAGCAATTCCGAAATTATTGTTTCTAGTTTGGCAAAATTTAGAATAAAAAATCAAACCCCAATTTTGATTCTAGTTTGAAATGATATTTGTAATTATTTATTTAAAAAATATGATTAAAAAATCACAATTTTATTTTTAAATTTTGAAAAATGAATGTAAAACTATAATGAGCGTAAATGTATAATGATATAATAAAAAAATTAATATAAAATTATAAATATTTAGTTCCTTACGTTCCGATCATCCTTTCAATTGATATGTTTAATAGAAAATCATTGTCCTCAGATATCAGATTTTACTTCGACATAAGAGATAAAGGAATCTTAACAATTAGATGGAGTAAATTAACCATAAAAAAAACAAACAAAGGGATTAAAGTGCACAAGAAAAAAGGATCTAACTATATAAACAATTAGACAGAAACATCTAGAACTAGCAGCACAACCATGTTGAAGTTCCTACTAGTTTTGCAAACACAAAGACTTCATGGCTCATGTTATCTTGGAGTTCCACAAATTCATTTGTTTATCTTAGACACTATCCCTTCTTCTTGCCTTTGAGTTCATGTGTACCTTGCTCAGATATAGTGTTCAGTGGTTGACTAAAAGCACATTTGCAATTGCACTTCTCCATGAAATTTCTTCGGGTTACATCACATCTGAAAACTTTTAAAGCCAAGGAAATGCCTCTTTGTGAAATGAGATGGCACTTTTTATCTGCAAAAATGGCAATCACAGAACAAATGCATATTGAAAGCTCTGCTACAAGTTTATAGATCTCAATCAGTATGCATCAGATTGCGACGAAGGATCTCAATACATATCATCATAAGCATTTCAGTTCAAGTTAAACAGAATATGCAGCAGCCTCATGGATCAGATAATAGACTGTTGCTTCAACATGATAAAGCAAATGGATGTCCCACTTTTTCACAATGTCAATGCTGCAAATACTTCAATGACAATTGTGCATAAAGTGAGACTACCAATTATCTACAACTGAATAGCTTCAGTCGATTGATAAGAAAAGTAATAACAATGTTCATACAGGTACCAAGTACACAGGTTGCAGCACAAACTAAGATTTGAAACAATGTGATGTTCAAGACAAACCCCATATCCACAAGCAAAGAGAAACATTATACCTAAAACATGATCAACCCTGTGGCTTGTGCTCCTGATTCTTTGAACTTCCCAATGGAACAAGAAGCAGCAACTGAACTTGAGAACAAAGCTTCCAAGGCGGTCCAGCTGTTTATTTGATGGCACAGTAACATCAAGTTAACCGGGACCGACCTTTGGAATGTCATAATGCTCACTGAGGTTTGCCAGATACTGATTGAAATCCTGAATGCGGTCTCGGTGTGATTTGTTGGCTTTCTTAGCCAGCTTTTTCACGTTAATTCTCTCCCTCTGATCAATATATCGCCTTTCTGCTGGAGTCAGCTGATCATCGCAAGATGGAGCATGTCCTTCAGTCCCTAGCTTGTCAGTTTCGGTCAGGCTTTCAGTAGGATCATCAGCCGACAATCCAGAACTCCCACCTTGAAGTAAAACAAAATTTTAATAGCATAAAAATTGTGCAAATACAAATTTTTAGTTAGGCATATGAAATAAGTGAACTTTATGTAGGACCAGAAAAAGCAAATGCATCTCATGAAAACAGGATCCAAATACAGATTAGTTGGATGGAAAACCAGTTAATAATCTGAAACATTTGATATGTGCTTATTTAAGCAGATTTAATTTTTGAGTAACATCATAATTACAATAAAAAGTCAACCTGCTGGAAGCTCATTGCTTCCAATCTGAGAATCCTCCTTGTTGTGCCGCTTCGTTTTCTTTTTCTTCACCCCACCAGCCTTCACATCCAATGCTTTCCCCTTCAATTTAAGCTTCCCACCAACAACATTCTCATATGCAGACATTTACCTTGTAAAAAGAAGAAGGAGGAAGCCACTCAAAAGCACAAAGAGAAAATGATAGCAATAAGAATGCAAACCTAAGAGCTTCCTAGTAATGTATCGCGGAATGTTATCAGAGGTGCCAGCCGGTAAGGTTCGAATATAAAAATTATAGAAAATATAATTAAGAAGAAAATCAATCATTAAAATAAAAAATAGACAAAAAAAAATGAGTTCCACATCATTTCATGTTCAAATTATCACCCTGAAAACATCAAATAATATTCATTTAACCATCTAGAAAATATTAAAAAGTAGTAAATTGTCTAAATCTAACAACAAGATCACAAAACAAAAGAAGATTAACATCAAAATTAACACAGAGACAACAAATATAGTAATTAACACAAACAATTCATAAACTATTATCTGCAACAATTAACTAATATAAATGAGAGTTAAAATAGTTGTGCAAGGGAGTCGAGAATAGGAGGTCAACCGAGAGTAGAAGGCAAAAGAGGGAGGCTAAAAGCAGAGGAAGGCAAGGATGTGAGATCAGAGCAGGGGGCTGGCAACAGCAAGGGGCGAAGAGGAGGGAGGGGTGGTGGCTGCCGAACGAAAGAGAGAGGCAGGCAGGCAGAGAGGGCCGTTGAAAAAACAGGGAAAGGCAGAGAGGACGATAGGAGAAAGAGAGAGGCAGAGAGGGTTGCCGAGACAAGGAGAGAAGCGAACGTCGGGCCGAGAGAAGGAGAGGGTTGGTGTGCTGCGGTAGAGAAGGGGGGAGGGGGCGGCGGGAGAGAGAAAGCGAGCAAGTAGAGGGGAGGAGGAGGGGGCACTGCGAGAGAAAAGAGAGAGGAGCGGGGCGCGCTGCACCATCGGATGGAGGGAGAGAGAGAGCGAGGGGCGGAGGGGAAGAAGAGAGACCTAAGAGAAAGAAGGAAGCGGTCGCCGATGTGGTCCGCGAAAGGGAAGACAAGGCACTGGTCGTTGGTCGATTGTTGTCGCCGCCTGCTTGCTTGCACGCAACAGGGAGAAGGAATGGAGGATGCCTAGGGTTTTCCAATAAGAGAGACGAAGAAACGACGCGATGGAGGAGAGTCGAGTCCCACGAGTCCCACGGGGGTGGGGATCACAATTTTCCTGGGTTGGTCGAACCCAACCCAACCCAACCCAACCCAACCCAACCGAACCGGGGCGTCAGAGCAGACGAGTGCATTGTGGTGTGGGTCCGAGTGGGGATAAAAATTCCTGAGTTGGTCGAACCCAACAAACACGGGCGTGAGCTCAAGTTTTGGTTTAAGCAGAAAAACAAACAAGTGAATATTATCTTGGTTAATGGTCTAGTCGATTATGGTAAGGGGGCAAGTTCCCTTCTCCTTCCTCCTCCTCCTATAAGGAAGGTGTCACAGACTTTGTGCTGGAGTAAGGATGTCCAACAAGTACGTCCAGTGAATTATCTCAGAAAATGTATCGTATTGATGATACAGATGCATCACTCAATTTAGCACATATCACTACTGATCGCCAACCCATGTGATCTTTCCTGTTAGGTATATCAGCTGCGATTCTTCTTGAGCAAATGGGAGTTGCTCGATCAGAAAAGATGGACAAAAGATACAATGTTTAATGAAGAATCGGAGTTGCTCGATCAGAAAAGATGGATAAAAGATACAATGTTTAATGAAGAATCGGAGTTGCTCGATCAGAAAAGATGGATCAAAGATACATTTCATGAGTAGAGAGGCAACTTTAACTTCCAATTTTATTGAAAATGCAGTCAACTATCGCCACAACTAACAGTCTAGTTGCAATCAATGCTCAGGTATAACAAATCACCATAATTAGCATGTTACCTGGAACATAAGAATCACATGGGTGCATCGAAATCACTGTTAATGCACCCAACCTTTGGGACACAGGCAGTGACTACTGTGTTTCCTAACCGTTCCCTGCGTTTAATAACTGAAACTTAATAGAGTACAAGCAAAAAACTTTTTTTTTTGTTCTCAGCTAAAAGGAAACAATGTAGCTTTACATAAACCACTACAGCAGTAAAATAAGAAGCTCATCTAAAATCATCATGTTGACTTGGTCTTCAAAACACTTGTAGGATCTGTCAACAAAAGAAAATTTATCATTGTGATTAACACTTGCTGTAAAAAAATCATATTATTTCTAATTTCATTGATACACATTGATATCAACCTGAGGTTGCAGCTCACTTCTCGACTGTTTGAAGGCTTATGAAGATTCATTGGAAGGCTTATCCTCTTCAGGATTTGGTTTTATTGGACTGTCTACCTCCATCTCGGCTTTGAGGTCATTGATGCTCTTCTCCAGTTCATCTATCCTGCTTCCCATTTCATCTAGTGTGTCGCAGTTAAAAGGAAACAACTTAAACACTTTTTCATACAAAAAAGCTTCAGCAAGAGCACAAGGATGCATCTAATGCAATAGCCAATGAGCAAATGAACCAAAAAGATGAACAAAACTCAGACAATTGTTTGAGAAAGAACAAAGGAACAAATCTTTGCGTCCTTTCCAACAGCAAAGTTGGATCAGAATCGTCCCCGCACCACATCCAAGATAGCGGTCAACTTCTTGAGAGCAATAACACTAATCAGCACAAAATTCATGCAAGCAGAGGTCAGGAGATCAAGTCTTCCTGTGATGGGTGGTTGCCCTGAATCATGATTTACACTCATGAGATCAGGTTATCTTTTATCTCAACTTCATTATCTTTCAAAAGAAAAAAATGATGTGCATTGGAAGCTGTGAAAAAGTTGATCCAAAAGCAATGAAAGGAATTTGTTATAGTAATATTAAGATCAAAAAGGAAAGAATTAGATTAAAAAGTCAAACAGATACAGAGTTGGTCAGATATTAATACTAATAGATTTAGGATCTTAGTTCAACCATGCACATATCAGTTTATACAGCAGACGGAATCTTAGTTTGACAAATTCTTGCCTTAAGATAGTAGTCCACTTGAACAAATCTAAAACATGGAATTATTTCATGTGGGTAAATATGAGAATGCAACGAGTTTAAAAGAGTGCTAGATTTAGAAGGATGCTTAGGGATTATTATTATTGCTAAGAGAAGCACAACTGGTTATTTCCAAAGGAGATGATCTAAGTAAGAGGTCTTGGAAACTATTCTCATCACACCAACAGTAGTCCATCAAATAACAAAGATCAGACTGTTTCCTTAATGAATAAATGCTTTAAGATTCACAAAATTAGTTAAGGGATATAAAGCAAAGTTTTCCTTGGTTTTAGGCCACTGCAGACTTGTGATTGTAATCAGTGAACAAGCAGGAACCAAAATGCCATCCCCAGGAATCTGATGAAGTCAAAATCAATCTCCTTCTCTTTCTCAGTTATCATATAATGTTCTGCAATTTAATATATTTCTTACACTAAAGCAGCTTCTTGTTGCTTTCTCTATTTGCTTTTCTTCACTCATTATATTCACCAACATAGTGGGCACACGCACACAACACATATATAAGCACACATATGCACACACACAGGAAAAGAGAGAGAGAGAGAGAATCCTGTACCAAGGATTAGGACCTCAATTTTATTACCCTAAAATCAATCATAGAGACTTCAAATAGAAGATCGGTTAAACTAAATACAACTTATGATATTTAAAACATTTAGAAACTAATATGTGTTTATATATATTTACTGATGATTTGTTTTAGTTGATATTAGTTCTCAACTTAAACTTGAGCTATGAAGGCAAGCCTTATAACATAAAAGTTTTAAATTGCGTGAGAGACGATAATTCTATATACAATTCTCTACCATTCACGTAAAAGGAGAGGGCAAGCTTCGACACCATAGAAAAATTGCTCATGTGCAATCCAAGTCCAAGATACAAAAACATCCTCTCTGCTTGTAGAGGCAAAGTTGTGTAAATCTATCAAAAAACAGGAGCCTTGTTTATTGGGCTGCCCTTTTAGTAAATATACAAGAACTTTAATAAAAAATTACATCTTGCAATTACATTCCTATTTCATCATACATGTAGAATACCCTAAATCACCTCGACACAACGTGAATTCTAATTAGTATATCCCTACTCTTAATTGAACTCTTTGTTAGCCCAAAAAAAACCATAAGATAATTCTCCAGTGCATTTAAATATTCTATACTGTCTTTGAATTTTCAAAGAAAATGATCCCATATGCTTTAACGACATAAATATTTGTAGAAAAATGGAATTGTGGACCATTTAAAATCCTCACTTATCTTTTTTTCATAATAACCTAAATCACCTCCACACAAAGTGAATTCTAATTAGTATACCCCTACTCTTAATCGAACCCATTATTAGCCCATAAAAAACCATAACATAATTCTCAAGTGTGTTTAAACATTCTATACTATCTTTGAATTTTCATAGAAAAATATGCTTTAATGACATAAATATTTGCAGAAAAATGGAACTGTGGACCATTTAAAATCCTCACTTATCTTTTTTTCATAATAACCTAAATCACCTCCACACAAAGTGAATTCTAATTAGTATACCCCTACTCTTAATCGAACCCATTATTAGCCCATAAAAAACCATAACATAATTCTCAAGTCTGTTTAAACATTCTATACTATCTTTGAATTTTCATAGAAAAAATTCCATATCCATTGATGTACTAAATCTCTGTAGAAAAATGAAATTGTGTACCTATATGCACTTATTCTACCAAACCAGATAAATACGCAATTCCGCAACCATTTAAAGTCCTCATCCATAAAATGAACGAGCAATTCACTAATATTTTTTCATGATACCTAAGAAGTTACAAAAGAAAGAAATAATCATAGTGTACCATTTTACAAAATTTGATACCATTGATGATCTGGACCTTCACTGTAGCTTAAGGTTTCCTAGATTTTAAAAAGAAAAACCTAAGGATGTGGAATAACAGATTGAAATACCATATATATATATATATATATATATATATATATATACTAC